CTCCACTTGAAGAGGTCGCGTGCGGCGCAATACTCTTCTCTTCGTCCTGTCGCCCCCGGGGTGTACAACAAACTGCCGGTTAAAACAACAACACCTCTTCGAATCTGTCACCCCAACGCCGTTAAACGAGACTGATGTCCGATCATCCTTCCTTTCTGGGTTCGAGAGAGAGACTTAACCGTTGCCCACAATTTACAACACTTCAGATGTTCTGGCCATTTTTCCGCGTGTCCTCGCCGACTAACATGTTCACTTCCATAGTCAGTTCTCGCTCATTTGCTAATCCCTTGCCTCTGCTGGAAGTTAGGTACCAATTCAGGCTGCATCAGTGATGATGTCCCGGAAATTCCTTTCTGCTGCCCGAGCATCAGAAGGATTGTGAGTTCTCTGAAGCGACGATTAGTGAAATTCCTTGCCAATTGGTTTTCCTATAGTTTAGGAAAGTACGGCGTTCAGAAGTTATGAAATAATGAAGTGATGGGTTGCCAATACACGTCACTCGTCAGACCTGGATACACGATGGATATGTCCGGGGAGCTTTGACAGTCTCCCCTTATCCGTGCAAAATGTTGAGCTATTTTTTTTTTTTTTTTTTGCCAGCGACATTCCCCTCTGGTAATTACCTAGGACCGAATGCCATAATTCGTGGTGTGTTAAAAGATGTCCCAATCAGTCCGCAAAACACACTTGATGGTACCAACGACCGCTGTCAGCCTCTCTTTCCACCGATAAAAGTATACTAGGAAATTAATTCTTTCTGACATAGCCTAGATATCTGGAGTTGAATGATATTGATCAAGACGAAATCAGTAACAGACAACGACAAACACACCGTTTCTGTCTCATCTTTTAGTACATAAAATTGCCTTCTTCTTTCGGTTCCAAAAATTAACGATTTCTTCCTTCAGTGCCGTATAGTATCTACCTTGATCCTACATCACCTTAACCTTTCTTCTATAACTCCAATATATTCGCTTTTCTTCTAACGATCGCCATTTCCCGTTAACATGTTACGATTAGTCATTCGATTTTTTTGGTTTTTATAGGAAAAATCACAATTTGTGTTTCGCCATTTCCTCGAACAACAAAAATGATTTTCAATTTCAACAAATTGCGTGAGTTCAGAGAATTTTTGTTCGACTTTGCCATGGCGGAGTCGAAGAAGAAATATCTCGAAAGAAATTATGCATCAACACGATTTAACATAAAATGAAATTGTTTTTCTGTTACTTAAATGGTTTTCAACATAAAATTAAACGAGCGAAATTTGTTTCGTCGGTACCATTCGATATGAAGTGCTACAAATGGTATCGGTTTTTTCATTTCTTCCTCAATGTACGATTTTTTTGTTGGGTATGGCTTATTGGGCTGCCGCCGCAGCCGCGTGTTTCAAAGATCCTGGTGACGATCTTCTAACAACCAAGTACATCGTCCTCCTCTATGAGCATGAACTAAGGCGTATTGGCAATGGTCAATGGTTGATGAGGAAGGAACATGTAGTAAAACACGATTATGGCAGTTGTTTGCGGGTGCGGGAGCAATGGAGGTGGAGGGGTGGTGTGGAGTGTGTCCAGACCTTTGGGTTTGAATCTGTAGCTACAAGCATACAATCAGTCAGTCTGTCTGCCATAAACTGTGATTTAAAGACACATAGGCCAAACAAAAAAACTCCTACCTTCTTCTTCTCCATCGCCAACATCGCCAGGGAAACTAAATAAAACGAAACGAACCCCAGGAGTACAGAGGTCAGACTATAAAGAAGCCGTTAATGTTGTTTTGGTTGTGTTTTTTTAAGTTTCGCATTTCCTGCAGATTTGTTTGGCCCATGTAAGATGCTTGTTTGTGGGCCTATTTGTTGGATTATTTGTTTAGACAATGAATGATACATACGCGAGTGCAAGATCACGGCGCGCTATACGCCCGGCCAAACGACAGCAACCACAAATTGCCAAGGAGCGCGTGAATTTATGCAATACACTATGAGCATTGGCGGTTTTTTTGGATGGAAGGAACGAACGAGCGACTCCGAAGCGAAGCACAGACATAGTGACTTTGCTGCTGGACTCGCTGTGGGATGATCATGATGATCGTCACGTTATATGCTTGAAATTGTTGTTGGCTGGAAGTCTCTGGATCTGTTAGTCGTTCGGTAGTTGTTTGGTGGTTAGAAGATAGCACACACGGGCCATTTAAAGGTTCAACAAAAGTCTTAAAAGGTAGCGCCAAACAAAGAGTATTTTACTTGGTATGCTGCCTGTACGCGAAGACCAAGTCCGCCAACCAGCCAGCCATCTAGCCACCACCACCACTGATGACTCTGCCGTATATGAATTGTTTCTTAACCTAAACACGATCACTGTGATAATGTCTAATGTTGTTCCATGCGGTGTAATATGGTAGATGATGTTATGCGGCGGTGGTGGCTGCTTCTGTGGTTAATGCAGGAGGATCATGTACCAAGCTACAAAAAAATAAATAAATAGCCAGGGCTTGCAACAATCCTAATCTGTCTGTCCATTTAGGAAAATAAAATAGCAAAAAAAAACCAACACACATTAAGTTCTGACCTTTCATTTGCTCCCTAACCGAATAAAAGAAATATGACGTAAAAAGGAAAACCAAAAAATGCAATCATATTTGTGCTGCGAAGAGGCATGAAATCTTCGAAAACCCTTAACATTATGCACAGTGTTTGGAAATTTAAGGAAATTATTGAAATGTTTCTGACTACGGAAGGAAGCGGTTGGCTATTTTATCGATAGGTTAAAGTTAGGAAAACAAAAAAAATTGCCCCAACAATCCAATAATAAAAAATTAACTTTTTCGATTTTTTACAAAGTCACTCTTACCCGCCCTTACCGACCGAGGGCGACAACTTCCCATAACGTAGGAGAGCGTATACTCCATAATCCGGATTATGGAGGGTTAGTATCGTAGGGAAACTCCAACTACAGTAAAACATCAGCTGGTACATAAATTAAATTACTTACAAACATCTGGCAACTACTTGTCATCTATAGTTCTATATGTAGAATAGCATTTTTAATAGTTGTATAGGATCAGACATGGATTAGAAATTTTGAGTCAATTTAACCACGTAAAAGTCTTATAGTATTAAATATTAAATGTCTTCGTTCTTATTTTTGAAGATCAATAAGTTTTAAGCGATTTTCATAGGGGGGAAGCGGTTCAACTGTAATTCAAGTATTCAAGTTTTTTTTTGGAATAACAGCTGTATAACGAGCTACATAAAACACATCCGTTTTCTAACTTCGGGCGAACCATACTAACAAATAAACGTTTTGTCACATAAGGGGCGTCAAACTCCTTAAGCCATCGTTTTATAAATCCTAGTAAAGATTTCGCTTTATTGACACTATACATGATATGTAAGTTAAATCGTAAAATTGTTAAGTACAATTTGACACAAAAATAAGCACGTCTCAATGCTACAAAAGTTGCCAGATTCTTAAAATTCAATACTAAATACTTAAATCTAAAAACTACGAACTTACTTACATAGCTGGCTTGTTACAGAACGGTTGTTCCATAAGCCGAACTTAAAAAAGATTTCCAAGCGTGTCTGTCTTGTGCACAAATCCACCAATTTGGAAGACCACGTTCCAAGATGTTGTTTTCTCCTTGGTCTTTCCATCTAATTCGTGGCCTTCCCCTTCTACGTGAACCATCAGTAGGCTCGTTTTTATAAGCCCTTTGACTGGGGCATTTTCATTCATCCGCACAACAATACGAATGCAGCTCAATACGACTAACTATGTCGATGTTCGCGTAAAAATTCGACGCCGATATTCACCGTCGACGCAGATCGACCCGTAGATCTTTCGGAGAAGTTTTCTTTCAAACACCCCAATAGCTGCCTCATTTGCTTGCGCAAGTACCCATGCTTCTGATCCATATAATAACACGGGTAGTATCAGCGTCTGGAAAAGTGTGAGTTTGGTCTGGCGGGAGGTGGCCTTTTTTCTAAACTGCCTACTTAGACCATAGTAGCATCTGTTGACCATCACAATCCCTCTCAAAACTGATGTCATTCGTTTTATTTATGGCGGTACCAAGGTATATAAAGTCTTTAACTATCTCGAAGCTGTAGTTCTCAAGTTCCACAGTTGGTCCGAGTCTACTGGACGTCTTGCGCGTTGATACCATCAGCTTGGCCTTCTCGCCGTTTACTGCCAGAACCACTTTGTCAGACTCCTTTTCAATCAAAGGTGGCTTGCAATGTTCGACCCATTATATCGATGTCATCGGCGTAGGCGAGTAACATGTGTTGTTTGATGTACAGAGTGTCATTTCTGTTCACCTTTGCGTCTCGTATGACCTTTACCAGCAGGATGTTAAAAAGATCACACGACAAACTGTCACCTTGTCTGAATCCTTGTTCGGTATTACATTAACTTCTATATAAAATATTTACATATACATACGCTGGCCACATTGTGCAATGAAAGTCAAAGTTTCTAACCGAACTTTCCAAACCCAATATATTATATTCAGCATATCGTTTGCAATAATGTTTATCATAGCCTTTTTATTTCCATTCGTTTTTAATTGCCCGGTACATGTTTCCATTTTGGACCACTGTGGAATATTATGTTTCTTCATAGCCACTTAAAGATATAACCACAATCATAACCCAGTCACAGTATTACACCCAGCTAGCAACATCCTCATATTCCACACTAGGAAGTCATTGTAATCCATGTTGTTTGTTGTTGGCCCGAAATGTGATTCAATTGAAAACAGTTTCAATATTATTGTTTTCTAGTAATCGATACTTAAAAAACACTTTTTTGTAAAAGATAAGAAATATTTGTTCAAGCATTTAAAGTTTAATTTGAAAAGCAAATTATTTTATATACCGTCTAAGAGGTTTTCTAGGCTAAGATATTGAAATGTATTTTTTTCAAAAGAAATAATTTGTAACAATTTGAATAAAATTCATAATTTTGAATAATTTTTATTTTTGCATCATTTTCCAGGTTCGTGATTTGGTCGAAAAATGTACCTGTCCATCACAGTTCCCCATGGTTCGTGTATCCGAGGGTAAATATCGCATTGGCGATACAAAGGTTTTAATATTTGTACGGGTAAGTATGACAATAATAAAAATAATAAATTTTCGCCTACACACAAACACATCGACATATGTATATATGTATTTAAAAATAACCCACCTGAAATATGCAAAACGGTCAGCGGCTGTTTAAAGAAAAAAATTAACGCCATCGATGATTTCTCTTCTCGGCAACTGCAATTCATCAATTGTTTTATTGACGTGTCAGCCAGCATTGGATGGCGGCGTTCCATCGTAAAGTCAATGATGTCAATATCTTGAATTTCAGTGTTTTGTCTTTTTTTGTGTTGCTGTGCTGTCACCTAATTGGACAGCACGGTGTTAAGAAATATATATATATATATATATGCGAGTATATGAACATTTGTTTTCAAATGTCCCAATAAACATTAAACTCCTCTCAACTCACACTCAATATAAGCAAATAAAAATATAAATTTATTTTGGCATACTGAATTACTACTTTTGCGTAAACACCTCACGAAATTGTTATCATGATCGGCCACTGCAGCATTGTTGCAATGGTGACAATATCCCCCCAGTGTTTCTCCTGTTTTTATCATACACCATTCGGTGTAAAATAAAGCTGGCACAACAATTCGTACTCGACATAATTTCCCAAACAAAAAAACAAAAATAAACAGATCCTATTCATTGGTTCGCCGTATTAATTTATTGTAAAATATTCGTTTAATACAGACTGTCCTCTGGACAAGAGGAGCAGAGGATACATTTTGCATAGCCTCATAAAACTGGTGACTTGCTTACTACTTACTCAATTCCATAGTCCAATGGGGGTAATTGAGTACTAGTCGTAACTTAACATGGTGTCCATTAAAATACAGCAGCAGTCAATACAACGATCACTCGGGTTCAGTGATTTTATTAACACAATACAACGACTGACAACGAACGTACTCTCTTCATATATAGAGGCGAGCTTGACGAAAAACAAAAAACCAGATACAAAATCCATGCCCAATATGGAAATTTTTTCGTCGTTTAGTTCGACGACAATGTTGGCACTTTTGATTGTTTGGGCACGAAAACGATAACAAATTTCTTAAATGTTCGGCATGAATATAAACAACTGAAAATGTATGTTTGCCTGATCGTAAATGCCAAGGAATTGTAATTTTTATGGAGTTTGTTTTTATTTGTTTTTGTAATTCAGAGGACCATTGACAGACAATGATTCAGACATGAAAGTGACACATCCTTGTATTTAATGTAATGGGAGTTTTTTTTTTTATATGAAGTTATCAGATGTTGTTTAGAGATAGGCATTTGTGAAAACAAAAATGTTCGGACACCACATATTCAAAAATGTCCCTTATATTATTAACAAGGATGTGACATTTTATGCCTGAATCATTGCTGTCCTTTATGTATACGGAATGGCTTATGTTTTCATTCCTATTTTCTTCTAACATTATGTTAACTATTGACTCCAAAATGAAAAAAACGTTTTCAACTGTCGAATATCCTTTCCGGAAGCCCGTTTGCTATTTATTGGAGAGTGAAGAAACTCGAAACAACAAGATTTACAAGATTAGCATTTTACTACGTGATTAGGAATTGCTTTCAGCTTATGATCTGAGTCCATTAACATGGGAAAGCGTGGGTAATGATCTTAAGCCTCTAGTGTTCGCTAAACGAATTACAGTCGGGGGGTCCGGACTCCGAGTGTACCTGGTTTTATTGATTTACGATTTTAGCCTACGGCCATTTTATTAATTCAAATCTTACATCTACAACAGATTAAACGGCTTAAACCTATCTTACGTCATAACTTATCATGCACTTATTCAGCACCTACTTTACCCTTAACAATAAGTGTCTCGGCTTAGCAGAGGACACAACCACTAAGACTATGCCATATGACACCACCTAAAAACTATGCCCCGAAAAATAGAATAATTAAAAAGGGCTATGAAAAACTTATAACTAATTTGAAATCTTAAAACTAAATATATTTACAATAACATAAACTAACTAAGGTGCGCTGGGCGGTATTGTATACCAAATTGCTCCAGTCCGAAGAGAAGGCTCTTCTGTGGTAAAACAGAAAACCCTCCTCTCCGTAGAGCAAGCCAGTCTAGCGAGGGATGCGGGTGGCAGGTGCATCCGAGCACACAGCCGATCCGATCCCTCCGCACTACAAATTAAATCCTCAATGATGCTATTCTCAACAAACTGACATCTGTCTAAGAATGCGAGACCACACCTAACCATGAAAACATCAATCCTATCAATCTGTGCCTTTTCATCGATCGACCTACAAGAGTGTCTCCTAAAGGAACCGTCCTCTAACCGAAAAGGGTGTAACCGCAGACAAGAGGATAGTATTTTCCTGGTTTTATTGAATTTATATTGAGCTTAGATACTACTTATGAGAAGCAAGATCCTCGTCTAGTATTGGTTGTGTAATAATGTAGTAGATTCAGAGATGTAGTTTTTGGTACCATTTACAAAATATTTACATAGTTAACCCCTAATTTCAAATTTTTAAATAAGATTTGCTTTCAAATGATTAATAAAAATTTATGTGTTTATACTATAACAAATAAAATTTAAATAAAAACAGAGTTGAAGAGTATATTTTTATTTAGCCAATCCGTTCTTTCCACTACCATCGCATGCTTTGCTATACAACTTATAAACGTGGTACCTCCTCCTAGGGACATTTGTGTTCCCTGATATTTTACTTAAACGGAATATGCCGTCCGTTTGGGATATCTGTAAATAAATTACACCATGCCAATAAAAATAGTTTGTTGCATTTCCAAGTGTTATTTTCTCGGTACTGATGTTTGTGTAGCCTTTCGTTGTGCCGATGACCGTTAATCTGTTTTCAATTCGTAGATATTATTCTCTCTTCTTTAGTGTGCACAATAGTCCGAATAATTTCTTTTGACACATATAGGATTCTCCATCTATAGATTCGCCTGATGATTTTTTTTTTTATATGTTTTTTAAAATTTATAAATATATGTTTTTATAAATTTATTTTTTCTATAAAAGTTTGTTGGGTATGAATTCTCAATTAATATTGTGAACTTTCACAGGTTCGAGCTCTGTTTTCACCATTATGCGCGACAAGTTCCAGTTGAGTGCATTCCAATATCCGTTCTCATTTCTTCTGCCATTTTGCCAAGTATCCACTAAATATAAAATTTGTTATAAAATATCAAATAATCGAATCACAACCTTGGATTTACCTTTACTGCATTTTCTGACGAATTTCATTTCGTAGTATTCCCATTTTTTTTTAATTAAAACATTTTTCTACTTCTAGTCCCTAACATATGTTTTCACACTTCGCATACCAGTTACATTCGTAAAAATGTATAACATGATCTTGTTGATAATTTACTATCGATAAATATTATTTCAAACCGATATACATTTTTTATTTACAATTGTCGCCATGATTATATCTGTGGTGTTAAAAAACGTCAAACAATTTGATTGGGATCAAAAATTCCCAAACGAAAACAATTTTTTTATTTATTGAATAAATTTGATATTGTTGTGCGGATTAAGCGGCTTATCGTGTAAAACACATCAATACATAGATAGTAAATATTATTATTGCTTTCACTTCCATGGCAAATGATTTGGATTAAATGCCAACCTCCCTAGTTTCGCCTCAGCGAATATTGTATTCTCAGAAATGCACATCTTTTCCTACAAAGTGTGCAATTTAATAATTCATGACTACCGGTTTTCCTAGACTGTCAGCCACCACAAAATGCCAATCAATCAAAAAGAAATGAAAATCGGCATTTTGTGAAGCATCTTAGATAACAGAGATGTGCACGTCCCTATATAATGGCAAATTGACAGCCAGCGCCAGTTAAATTGAATATCTGGCAAGAATACACAGCAAATATTTTCGCCTCCCCCTGTGTTGCACATTATCGTTCCAATGATGGTGATTTATTAAAGTATAATTACTTGTCAAATTATCTGGACGCAATAATCTTGCAGCACATGGCATCACAACATACATACACCATTACTTCTCAGTTTTTCACTATTATAACTCCGGGTAATGTGAAACCACAACACACCACCATGTGGCGCATGACTCCTATCTACAACAGATGATCATTCAATTTCGTTTAGATGAGAAAATGAAAAAAAAATAATAATAATTTCTATTACAAATTTATTAAATTGTAATTTTTCTTAATTTCCGTTTTTGTACATTTTCTTTCCTTCTTCTTTTTTTCCAGATCTTACGTTCACACGTTATGGTGCGTGTTGGCGGCGGTTGGGATACACTCTCACACTATTTGGATAAACATGATCCTTGCCGTTGTAAGGCACAACATCGTTCATCGGTGGCCGCACGTTTAATACCGCGAGCCAATCAGCAAACAAATGGCATTGAGCTGCATAAAGCTCAGGTGATATTCGAAAGGTAAGCTATAACGTGTGTTTGTTTTTTCGTGAATGATTTCCAATACCAACCAACCATCTGGATGGTGTATGCAGGCTCCTAGTATGATGCCACAGAGTATGATGAAGCAAATTTGTCGAATAAAATATTAATAGATTTTATTTATGCGCATATAACTTGCAGAGTTGGGAAATCTTGAGTGCGTAAAGATATTGGAAAATAAAATGCATGCCAACTATTTAATCTTATAATAAAACTATAGGAATTTTGTGCATCCCTTGTATATTAACCTCGTTTTACCTGAACTAGAAATTTACTTTCTATGGTGAATAGTTTAGTAGAACTTCCTTCAATTGAAAATACCGAAAATTATAATAACGGTACATCGAAATAAAGTACATTTAAAGACGAATAATACTAATCTCGCTTCTCTTCCAACCTCCACATTTTTTCTAATAATCGTTTTGTTATCGAATGTTACAATTTCCATCTCGTTGTACAATAGGTTGGACGACATCGTCCCGTTCGCCTTCTTTGCAAATAAAATGCAATTGAGTATGACAAATGGTTTAGTTTCTAGTCAGCACTACCACATTAGGCTTTATCTTCATAGGCATCATTAGCAACGCCAACAACAACATCGACAGCTATAAGCGGTAGACACATCATGATCTTAATAAGTGATCAATATAATTTGTCTTCCTTGATCAATTGAAATAAAGTGCAGCAAAAAGCAACACCAACAAAAAACAATAAAACGATTGATAAATCGATTGATTGTGAACATTAATTGGGGAGTGTCTAATTGAGTAGGGAAATATTGCCAATAAGAGCTAACTAAGAAACCAAGCAAGCAGTCAACCAGTTAGCTAAAGGCTAATACCCATAAATGTCTAGCTCTCTCACAACCTGTCCATTCACATAAGACAGATATTGTAGAAAAGAAAAGCGAAAAAATCGACAGAATGAAAATGAAATTTACCTGTTGACAAATTAACATTTGAAATAGCTGTGATCTGGAACAGCTAGCGTTTCGAACAATAACCCGCCTAGCTGGAGGAACATGTCAACGTGTGTCGCCGTAATCTGATATTATTCACATAGTCCAAATGGGTTTTAATTTGAATTTGACAACCTGTAATTAGTCGCAAAGTGACAAGCCATCAACGTGTAATAATATGTGGTAACGTTTTGTTCGGATTTTTGGTTTTCATCAAGCCTTTGGTATTTTCTATTCTAATCTAGAATGGTAATAAATATCTGAGTGACGAGAAAATGGCGTTGAATTTAATTTAGTTGACATATTTTCCCCATCTGATAGATTTATAAGCAAATGGGAATTTTATGTAAATTAGAGGATGGGTGGTGAAGGGAATTTGAGCTAAAACTGGAAATAATTTGGTATTAATTTGCAAATGGGTGTTAAATGTAAATTAATGGGCTTGAGTAGAGAATAATGTGCGGAGAGCTACAATATTTATTTATTATTTTAAATTACTTTCAAGCATTATATTTTCCTGCTGAACCGAATGCTATTGTCCAACCATGTTAACTATATGGCGACTTTTCCATAAAGCAACCTCATTATTCCACTTACTTTTTATTGCACAAATCCACATTACACCTTTTTCATTTAACTCCGCTTAAACTAATCCCTTGTAATCCTTTTTCCATATCAACTTTCAGATCACCACCAACAGCACGCAAAAGTATTTCCAATCACAACAATACGGCCACAGTAAACAACGTTAATACCTCATTAGCCAGCAGCAACAACAATCACTCAACTTCTTCGTCGTCTTTGCTTGCACCCGTTTATGGAGGTCTCAATAAAAATCGTAGCCCTAGTCCAACTATACAACAACGTAAATTCTATACATCACCACAACATCAAGAGATTGCTGCTGCAGCCAGTAATAACTCCGCCTCATCGTTGACATCACCCAGTGTTGTACGCCGTTCTATGTCACCCAGTCCTAGGCGCCTAATTGATATGCGTAAAAAACAAACTTCATTGGATTCATATACTAATGGACCGAAATCTTTACCCATTACTGTCGAACATGATGGCAGTAGTGGTCATGTTCAATACGACTCTTTTGATCAGACGTCTTCGTCGACGGGTCATGGTCATGGCGGTAATCCAAATGCCTCGGACGCAAGTGCAAATAGTAATAAATTTGAAAATATTAGCGATAATGGAAGTGAAATCAGTGATGAAGGATATCGCAGTTTGGGTGTCATCCAATCGAATGCCCAAAAGCGCGAATCCATACATAGCCAAGCATCAATTGATGACGCAGAAAATAATGGTGAGTTTTGTAAAACAAAATCAGTTATTTCTAATTTAATGACATCTGAACGTACATAATGACGTAAGAATGTTGAGAATTTTTCATGTCGTTTTTATAACGCTACAATTGTGGCACCCAACATTATTTAAAGCATGATATGTTGCTGACAGACTATCTTACTTTAGCTCTTTACCATGCCCGCTACGTCAGTTTTTCATAATTTTAATATATTTTTTTCTTTACTCTCTTTTCAGTGCGTCACGATCAAACATCAAGTGATTCTCAATTTTCGCCCAGTGAAGATAATACCAATACATCACAAAAAACACCAGAAACTATGGACAATAGCTATACAACACAAAATGATGATGATTTACAGCAACATCACCATCATCATGACCTCGACAATGGCCCACAATCATTGCCAGCAATTTTAAATGCCGAAAACATTCAGGTGGCCTCTAATAAATTTGAACAATCTGGCATCTACATTACCGACGAAGAGATTACCGTCGACATCTCCAGTAATACTGGCCTCAAGAAGACCGGTTTTTCCAATAAGATTTTCGGTGGTGAAGACGCTACCGATTCGACCAAAACAGCTTCCAATAAGAATTTGGCTAGCAATAAAAGTAAAATTCCATATTCACCCATGGCAACACCACAACGTCGTCGTAGCATTGATAACAGTACCTGTAATACTACGGGTAGCCTACAGGATTTACATTCACGTACAGGTTTGCCAGTTATGAGTAGGGCCAAACCGGTCTATAGATCAATGAGAAAACCACCAACTGCAGTGAGTGCTATTAGTGAAGCTAGGAAGAGTAAATCGCCAGCACCTGCGGCCCCAAGCACTCCCAAGAACATTAACAACACATGGAGTGGTAGAAATGCCCTTACTGGAGGTGGTCGCAAACGTCCCACTCTTTCAAGTGATACATTTACACCCAATACTGGTAGCTCCACCGCAGCAGCAGGAGCATCACCTTTTGAACGTAATTCAAAAACTCGATCATCACACATCATTTATGATAGCAATGGTCGTCGTGTTAAAGGCTGTACAGCGTCCTTGACAACATCACCAACTAAAAATCATGCCAATTCTCCATTGGCCCAACAATTGCTGGAAGCTGCCAGTTCGGCGAAAAATGATGCACAAATTCTCGAAAAAATGAAAACTCTGTTGCTACAATATTCGACCAGTAATACCAAATTGCAGGCAGGTGCAGCCCGACCACAAACGGCAAAGAAACAACCAGTATATGATGATTTTACAAGTGCCTGGGTTCATAGTAATGGTAATTTGGAACGTTCGGCAAGTTGTTCACCACCCACAAAGGCACCATCAAAACGTAGCTCCGCTGCCTCATCATGTGAAAGTAATGCATCGCGTGATATGTCGGTAATTGTATCGCCAAGACGTGAACGTGGCATGTCCAAGATTCCAGCGCCAGTACGCCAACATACTGAACTTTACTAACATAAACTAATGTCACCACAAATTCGTCGAATTGTGGGTATTCCGAAATTGCCTAGAAAACCTTAGCATTTAAGACAACAGCATCAACAACATCTGCAAAATCATCTGAATAATAATAGTAATAACAACAACAATAGGGAATAGTAGTGATCGCAGAGGAGGAAATAAAGTGTGCAAGGTAATGTTCTCAGGCCATATTGAAATAATGCCCAGATATATATGCATTAAATTCAATGTGTGGCCAGACTGCATAAATTGCTTGATAGATATTGCCACGTGTGAACAGAACTAACAAACTAAATATCTCCTACTAGACACTGAATGCAATGTTCGATTGAGGGATGAGAAAAATGTTATTCATTTCCTCCCCTCTCTCCAGAAATCTAGCATATATATTAAAATATAATAAAATGATTGTGTTCACGAATGAAATGGAAATAGAGGTAAATAAGCTAAACGTTGTGAAAAGTTTATGATTACGATTTTTTATGTAAATAGCAATTCCACAACCTTAGCAGAAGACAAGAGAATTTTTATACTCTAAAAAATTGGTTTTTAAGTTTCTTTTTCAACTTTGAAAAATCCTGGATTTTAGACATTTTTAAACGAATTTATCAAAAAAACGTAGATCTTTGATTTTTTAGAAGCTTAATCTAGGTTTACATTGTCATCAGTAAGTTAATATGTCTCTACAAGCGGAGCAAAAACAGTATTCATCGTGATGATGTAAACTTATTTTAACAAAATTAGGCTATGTTTATAAAAAAATAGTTTTATGAAAATTGGCAATTTTTTTCGAGAAAATTACGATTTTTTATTAAAACACATCTGATATAAACACAGTTTTACCTAGAGACTGCCATAACTACATTTCCTTATTAAAAAAAACCTAATCATATTTATCTGAACTTTTCTATCCTGCATTTAATGGAAAAATATACGAAAACCCTCAGCATTTTATAAAAACAAAACAAATCTTATAAGAAAACTTTACCATTAAAGCCTCTATAAAGGAAAACAAAACTCCCAATCAGGTCATAAAGATTGTAATCATAGAAATGATAATGCCTCTTATTTTATTTCCAAAAAAAAGACAACAATTTTAAAAACACCAATTTAAACATTTTTATATAAGAAAAAGAATAATCATATATACATGCATTCATATTACTACTACTTTTATACAGAAAACAAAATGAATTTTAATCGGATGATGATATAGTATTTAAAAGGAAAGAAAGACAAACAAAAGCATAGTTTTCTAGTAATTTTTTATAAAGCGAGGTACCACAAAAGCAAGCATACTTGTATGATGACGGAAGGCAAATGGAAGTGATCGTGTCGGATGGCTACGCAGGTGTCATAGGCAAGTTGTCAAAATAGACGGAAATTCATCTGTTGAAACGATAGTCAATTCAAAAAGAAGAATCATAGAAAGAAGTAATCTCACTAGACTTATTCAAAGGAGTTGGCAATGTAAACGAAATATTTTAAATGTTGATATAAATATCAGCATCTAAATCATGGTTCATTTTGACAGATCATATCATTTTAAATAACACCAATGTAAACGTTGCCTCAGTTTAGTTCTCTTTCTGTGCCTGCCTCAGGACATTTGCATCACCTTTGACCTTCCACCATAAAATGTAGGCATTTTTTATACATTACTATGTAGAGATAATTAAAAGTCTATAGTTTAAAAATCAGAAAAAATCAACAACACTATTGTAGTATTAAATCTAAAGAATAGAGAAATGAGAAATTTATTTTTTCACATGGCATAGAAATTATAAACAAAAACATAGTAGAATTTAGTAAACAATAAATGGGCTAGATAAGAATTAAAAATCCTGCAAAACTTTTGTAAATGGCAATTTTTAGTTTGTCTTTTCATATTATTTACAACAACACAAGGCTTTAAGAATATTAAAATAAATAAGAGAAACAATATTTAGGTTTTTTACGAAATGAACGGCAATGTCATGATGATAGTTTATATTTGAGTATAAGTTACAGTTAGAACACTCATTACAAAGGACCATTTTCCGCGAAATCACATGTTTCACATAAATGAGTTATGCTGGTGAGTGTAAACATAGCATAGGGTTGTGAGCTGAGTTAAGTATAGCATGATTTCAAGTTGTTTTTTTTTTCTCTAGAGACACTTTATAATTTTAAGGCTTCAACTGACTAAGAATGACAAGAACCCACAATTATATCCCAACAACAACACTTATTTTTTAAGCACGTATCTATGTCTCAAGACAAAAAAATATATATTTTTTTATAATCTTTTTCTTTATTTTATCTTTTTTACTCCCACTTAGGTTTTAGGTCTTAATTAATAAAATTAATTTTTGGTGCTTAATTTAATGACATATATAAAAAACAATGTATTCAAAACTATAATCAAAACAAACAACACATATACACAGTAAATTATATATGTATAATCCTTCTCTTTAATAACAAAAAATTATATACTCAATTTTATAAAAACAACTTTTTATTATTATTAAATACTCCTATACTCAAAGAAAACAACAAACACATACACGAGCTTTGAAAGAGAAGCAAATAAATAATTCACAACAACAAAAAACATAACTCTCTCTCAGAGTTGTATTTTAACTAATTGACAATTATTAACAGGGTGACACATAACAAAACGTCCCTTTAAATAAAATCACAAGCTTCTCTTTTCAAGGACTTGAAAAAGTATGTTATATTTTAAACAACTATATACTTGTCACAATTATTAATTTTAAACTATATAATCCAACAACTCTAAATGAGCACAACTTTATAAAAAACAAAATAATTATTATAAAAAAGCTTTTAAAAACACACACACATAAGCCAAATATGAAAATGTAAAACAAAACTATAAGCAAATTATTATTTTTTTATGGATTGGTGGAAGATCCACGAAGACCTTCCCTAACCCCTTTGAAAAAAACAACACTTCAACCACATAATCTTTTTCTTCTTGCATTAAAGTTAAACTTTATTTGAAACAACCAAACAAAAAACACATGTTTTGTTCAACAATATAATTGTTATTAAAAAGAAAAAACAAAAACAGAAAATCAAAACAAACCCCAAACAAATAATTAAAATAAATGTTAAAAGCAATTTGTTTTTAATTTAAGTAACATATCTTAAAATTAGTTTTAGCAAACATTTCAAGGTCATGTTTATATCGTACAAACAAATGAACATACTATGTTGTAAGATATAAACGTGGCCTTGTTGAGTTGCAGAGAGAAAGAGAGAAACCTTCTCTCTCTCTCTTTTTCTGCATTTCTCTTTCTTCTTTTTAGTTTACTAGTTTTTTTAGTTTCTTTGTAATATATAATTTCTATTTTTTTATCTATGTAATTTGTTAATTAAGTATATATACATATTAATCTAATTTTTTATTTGCAAAATGTGTATTAAAAATACATAAAAACGCAATTCAATTATTTTTTATAAACAAAGAACGAAGCAAATTATAATATTCAGCCGAAATAAAAATCTATTCTAATTAAATTGCAGTTAATTATTATTATGTCTTAAATAAGCAGACGAAACCAATATTATTGTGTGACACAATTTTAAAATGAAATCTTAAAAAAAATAATAAAAAACTAAAAAAAAATATTTAAATGTTGTTTTATTGGAGTTAGTTGCGAAGTAGTAATATTTTGGAATATGGAGAAATATAATACATCTGTTTACATTTACATACAATTTTGTAATTTACCATAAAATACATTTTATGTATATCCAGCATCACTTTAGATTGGATATAAGTTTGACAACGCACATCTATGCTCCTCAATTTCATGGAAACCCAATTGTGGTATTGTTTAGTATATTTAAATGTTGGGCGCCACGTTGTATTTGTTGATAATGAATCTCATTAGGTCAAAATATAGGTTGGTCAGCCACCACATTTTTAGCTGTCGCTTCCCTCGGAGACTCATGATCCATTGTGCTCAGGTCGAGTATGTGAAAAAAGAGTTAAACCACCAGAGTTCTGGAGAAGAAGTTGGAGTATAAGTATCGCATCTTCCAAACAAATAATGTATCTACTTCATTGAGGCAAGATTTGAAGGTTATTATATATATATATATAATGGTCCTCTCAACTACATTCGTGCGAAAACAATTTAATCCATTTTGATAGGCCTGTTGATGTAGATGCTCCCTTTTGTACCTTTGGACTTCTCTCTCCAGATTATGAAGATCCTTCCTGACATGCCTATCCATTAAGTAACGATTCGGATGGTTACACCCAAACATCTACAACATCTTGTTGTGTTGACGCACAGGAAAGATCTTCGTCTCCTCATGTAAATGGTCTATTAGAGTCATGAGGAGACACCCTGTTACAGTCCTCAGGCGGCATTTTAGCAGGATTGAAGACTTTTCCACTGCGTTGCACTGACGTTAGCGGACCACACTGGCGACGCATAGTTTACCACAGAACGGTCTATTGGTGTGTATGTAGTTAACAAGGTTTCTTTGTCAACTCCCCAAGTGCTGCCGGTTAGCGACTTGAAAACCTTGTTTTTGCTCCTGATCTTATCGCAAATAGCTGTGGCATGCGCGGACGACTTATACAGGCTATCGAATGTGACACCAAGAACCTGGGGGTAATTTGGGATCGGAATTTTGAACATGTACATGTTTAGCTGAAGTGATTTTCATAGTTGTTTCGACCGTTGTTCTTCAAGAAAGTGTTATGAAGTCCAAACTCTCACATTCCCCCCTCCGAAGAGTGGTAGAATCCATACCGCAGTTACAATTCTGTAATAGGAAGTAGAATATCATGAATTGTATAGTTGTCATTTGTCTCTAATTTGATTATTGATAAATAAAAATAAAAGACTTGAAGTGTCTGTCATTTGATATTCGGGGTTACTGGTGTATTAGAAAGTTTTCAATATACATAAGTTTATGGCTTCCATACAAACAATGCTTAATTTTCTCTACATTTAAACTGAGTGTCTGTAACTAGTAGACAATTTCCATGACTTTCAGCAAGAGACACCTTCTTCGACTCAAGCAACTGTATTGGCCTTTCGGCTGGTTGCTC